CATCACTCCAGTGAACAGCTCCGGGATATTTGGTTCACTGCATAGGCATTGACACGTGCCTTCCGTTTGCATGGTTGCTGATTTTTCAGTCCGGGTGGTGGAGTCTCTTCGTGGTTTTGTGTGTGTTTTGGTTTTGTTTGTTAGGCCTACTTTTCTTTTTCTTCTGGGGGTTTAGTTGGATTGGTTCTCAAAGCCGCAGGTGCTTGTCCATCTCTCCTTTTAATTATAACTGTAGTCACAGTTAGGGGGTTAAAAATTATTTTCTATTTTCTTCCTATTAAAAGCATCAACCATCAACATCAACCTGTAAGCACAATTACGAACAATTCTAGAAAACTTGTAAAACATATAGCTGTGTATTTGTGCACTTTGGTCGATTTGCAACTGATGCATCAGTTATATATTCCAACAGTGCAAGCCCAAATTTCAAATGAAGCGAATCCGCAGGCTTTATTTGGACATGCCTGCGAGATCTACCATATTAGCCCGACGCAACGCAGAGTCGGACTCGTGCTTGTTCCTGAATGGCCTTACCTTTTTGAAATGCCGAACGGCATATTGATCTTTCGAACCTACAGAGCAAATTTTACATGATTCATAGCTGACAACGGTATAGAACCACTTAATACAGTACCATTTCCATGCATGTTGTTCGCGTGGGATTTACAGCAATAACTCACACGTGCACGGGAGCTGCCATACTGAGAAAACTTTCTAATCACGCACACCAGGAATAATAGTGACCCTTGATATATACAGACTGTGTGAAAATCTAAATTATTCATGAGCAGTGTACATGTATTAATTAAAGCCAGTGCGGTTCCACCTTACAAATACATGTATATCACACATGTACAGTACATGTACATGTACATTTTGTACATACACATTTCCAGCGGGGCGTTGTTGGGTATAAATTGGACTGGACAATTGTAACGAAGAGTAACTTTCTTGTGTCTGCCTAGTTTAATTGTAAGTCCGTAATTGGGTGATTTGCGTTATTCGCTGCAGTCAAAACTCTGAAATGGTTGCTAATGAACATCTCTGTTAGTGTTGATGGACTGCATGCCTTCTATTTTTCTGAGTTTCATCTAAAATTACAGATCTGGAAATTTACTCGAGGTTGAAAATTGTGCTCACACAAATTGAGATCTAAATGATTTGGTGAAAGTGCATTAACAAAAGAAAAGCAACTGGGGGTTTGGGCTAATGAGCTTGGAAGTGTTTGGTACCAATTATAGAAATAAAATTATTGAAAGCAATGACCCTATGCAAACCTTTTATCAAATAAAAATTTTTAAATTAGGTGAGTGTATAACGTCAAATACAACTGAATGCATTATCTTGGTCAAACCAAACTTCTGGATATTTGCAACATAGAAGAGGAATTACTTACCTCTTGTTAACTTGCTTGCTTTCCTTCAAGTGCTGTTACGTCTTTGCCGACAAGGTTGTTCAGTGTGTAGCCTTCTACTACCACCAACATACGCAATCAATCTGTTTAACGTCCTAATTAAATTACCTGTAATAATTTCGCATAGTTGTGCCCTTAAAAAACATTGGCCGTGCATCACTTCGTGAAAGCAGTGACAATATAAATTTTGTTGTGGGTAGATCTGCTTATAAGCAGTGTCGAAACAAACGTGAAGCAGTCCAGCGTGTAATTATTCGTGCACATATCGATACTAAAGTAACCGATGGCCCATAACCTTATCCATAAGTCACATAATTGTAATATCTAAAGTTCTTTCTGCAAACTGTGCTCTCAGCCTGAAACCTTGGTAAGTCAAGTAGTAAGCATGCAAAACAAAGAGAAAACTGGAACGGCAAAGCCGCCATGGCTCGCTGCTTGTCATGAATTTAAATTTCTCGCTTGCAATAACAGGAAAGAGACATATAAGTTATACAAATACAGTTAGGCCTACTAAATTAAACAAGAAAATACTATTAAAGCTTCATCAAAATTTTTTAACAAGATTGGTTGACATACGACTGCAATGCAGATGTACAAGCTATTATATCGACCTGAGCAGTACAATTCGTTATACTCTGGGAGAAAAATAAAGACCTAGTTACCGGTAGTGCTGTGTGCAGCTGTGTGCTGAAAGGCGCCTGTCAGTTAAAAGTAAATCAACAAAAACTACCACCAAGGGAAATACAGGTACAAAGACCTGAATGATTATAAAAATATTGCTTTTGTGAGCTTGATGGATGATGCATAATTAGAATTTCTCCCAAGTACATGTAAAGTTCTTAACTTTGTATCCGACCCCATCATCCTATCCAATTTCTAATCCACCCCCTCCCCATCATCCTATCCATTTCCTAGTCACCCCTCCCCATCATCCTATTCATTTCCTACTCCGCCCCCTCCCCATTATCCTATCCATCTCCTACTCCACCCCTCCCCATC